ACATTCAAAAAATTGAAAGGGTTCAAAATCGTTTTTTATCATTCGCTGGTTATGTTTTAAACATTTCTCATCCCCCTTATAATTACACAGCAGTATCTGAATACTTGAACTTATCTAGCCTTGTTGCGAGAAGAAAATTGTTAGACATTCGATTTATTAATAATTTAGTTCATGGTAAGTTCGATGCTATCCATTTACTTAATAGAGACACATTTCATTGGGTCCCGTAATAAACAGGTTTTCGAAATCAGCACTCGGAAAACAAACTATTTATGTAATGACCCTATCCAAAGAACCATGAATATAATTAACTCGGACCCCAGTCTCCTAGACTTTTAGTCCTAGTAAAGTATAAAATTAATCCCACAGAATGTTTTATTTTGTTACTATGTTTATTTTTACTTTCATTTGCATGCGTTTCACTATTTTTAACTGTATACTATTATTAATAATTGTAATTTATATAATTTAATTGTTATCTTTATTATTTACTAACATGTAAGTATTTTCTTGTAAATTGCCGTCAGGCGTAAAATAAATAAATAAATAAATAGATGTCAACAATTTGTCAGAAGTTCTCCGATCTACTCAAATTGAAGTAATTAAAAGCACATCCATTTTGAGTATGGTAAAATCAATTTCCAAAGGGATAAGACTATTTAAAGGGACATTAATAGTTCACCAAGTAGTGTGGGAAAATGTTTGTTCTTTTATACAATTGAATAGTATCAGTTGTTTCTCAGCTGTCGAATTGCAAAAAACCAATAACATGATTGGACACCATAAAGCAATACATTTTAGTTAGTTAAATATTAGTGCTTAAATCTTGTTTGTTAAATTGATAACATTTTAGGAAAAAGAGTTTCTTTCTTTTTAAAGTTTTGTCTAAAACCTAAACAAATTATTTTCCTTCTGTTCAGTTCTTGAAGATGTTGATAGTTCCTGTATTTTGTTTTTGTTAAACTAAGTTAAAAACAAAAAAAAATTCCCTCACTCACCTGTTTCATACCCTTACAGCAGCCATTTTTATTTTAATGTTATAAGAGTAACAGAGTAGTTCAGAGCAAAAATAATTTAGTAAAATTACGATTTGTAACAATGGAAATTACAAGATAATTTCTAGGATATTAGCCCATATAACTTTTATGGTCTCTGTCACCTTTCTGTACAAACGTGCCGTTAGCGTCCAAAAAAACAATTACAGGTTTACACGAATCCAATGTTTTCAATCAATTTAACTGTTCTATACTATGTATAAACATGAACGTACGTCAGTAACCAGACATGACGCAAATAATTAATATTTGTATCAGAATACATTAACAAAAGGTCTCCCAAATGGTCTCGTGCATAGCCATTTACCATTAACGATTCTGACCTGATTTTCCTTGCAACGTCATCGGACTTAATGTCTTGTGAGTTCCCACATTCTATTTGGGCCGTTGAAGCTGACTTTATTGCTTCAGAAGTATGTACAAAAGTTTTAGTTTTGATTAAACTCTCTAAAAATAAATATCGTTGCACGCCTTTGACATGACATGTTAGGCCAGACGTGGGATCATGGTTGAAATTAATATTGGAACTGTACACATGAGCTTTGTTCGTTTTGAAAAAAAAGTGAACACTAATTAGCGTAGTGTCTGGGTCAAGTGTAAGGGGTGTGGTATTTGAAAACAAACGTTTTTGGTGTAGATTAATCAACTGATAATTTATTTCTATTGATAGTAGAAAATGCCTTGGCTCCACAAATATAGATAATAAATTAGATTGCTAACTAGTGATAAAACGTGAAGTCATCCGTCCGCCATTTAAAATGAGGCAAATAAATTTTATCTCTAATCAAATATTAAATAAATATTGTGATATAGGGAATAGGAATTCCGAATTCGTAATATTAAAATTTTTCTATTATGCCTTACCAGGGGGTCTATTCTTGAAACCATTCGAAAATTATTCGTATACGACCGATTCGTATACGAAATGTTCGTATGCGAATGTCAAGAATACCATTTAAAACAGTGTTATATGACTATTCGTACACGAATAATTTTCTACTGCGATCACTCAAAGCACTCGAATAACATTCTATTATGGGTCCAATACGTTGCAACTACTGGGGTATAGGCAGTAGAATCTATGATTCGCGTACGAATAACGATTACTTATACTCATACTTATACTTATGTTAACCACGGTGTCATAATTTATGGTAACGTACTATAATCAAAAACTTTAACTTAGTCTTAAAAGTCTAAATTACCAATAGTTGTCAATTTGTATTGTATAGTCAACAGTGTCGACTGTGTAATGTGTTTTACTGAATTTACCGTAAATTATTTTAAATAATGTGTTACCTCTATTGTTGACTACGTTTGTCGATATCCATTTATCGTTTAGTGATTACTGCCGGTGTCTGAACATTTCGGCAGGATTATTACTAGAGACCGAAAACCCACGAGATAAGTAAGGTCTGCCTTGTCTAACTATAGGTTTTATAAAAGCTAAGTATTGTCATTACTGCATAATTTTTTTTTAAATGGATGATGATAATGATTTAATAATGCAATTATTTGCTATCGAAGAGTTGGAACAAAGAGAACTTGACGGAGAAGTAACTAGGTGAACTTATGAGCCTATTGATCCTTTTGAATGTAAGTACACAGATTTAATACTTTATGTTACTATTAAAATAGTTATTATATTACTAAAATAAAATATGTCTATAATATATATATATATATATATATATATATATATATATATATATTTTAACAATTTGCTGTCATTACTACATACCCATAATTATTAGCATGCAAGACTGTTTGGAGAAGAATAAAAAAATACAAATTAATTCGAAAATTCCTAATCTATAAATACTAATATTTAGTAAGTACAACTTTCTAAGTTAGTTCTTCCTACCAATAATTTTCATAATAGTAATAAAGTCTTAAATAATTATAATTTTGTATTATTATTATATATTGTAATTAATTATCAACTAAAAAATATTTTCAATACAATATAATGAACATAAATCAGAACCAAACAACCAAATAAATGATTTATTAAAATTTAAACATTACATTAGTATACTATAGAATGTCGATAAAGTGCATTTTGTACTAAATACCACCTACTAAATATATAGACTATATTTTATAAAGTATACATTTAACTAAATTTAATTTTACTATTTAGAGTAATCATAAATATTTAGAAATAATATAAATAGTAAACCAATTGTATATTTAAATATTTGACAAGATTTTAGACTATTAAGTACTATGCAGTATATAAATACGTTTTACTCTTAATTATATACTCAAAAGAGTCGATGAAGCTGAGTAATTTAAATGTTAATTACCCGTTATTAAGTAAAACATGGTTTTTTAAACGTTTTTTCATACTTGATGTTATTTAATAATTTAGACCTAACAGATAGACAATTTATTAGTTTATACCGTCTTTCAAAAGAATTATGCCGAAGGGTTGTTGAAATGGTACGTCCATTGAGCGCAAGGTCAGATTTATGGAATATTGATAAATAAATGTTACGGATTTAATGTACATCTTTAATTTACTTTATGGTATAAATTATAGGTTTTTACCGCTTTACGTTTTTTTGCTGCTGGCAGTTATCAACGAGGTGTTGGCGCGAATCGACATACTTCTATTAGTCAAAGTTCCGTGAGCCGAATTTTAGAAGAAGTAACCTCAGCTTTGTGTGAGCCGGCAGTTTTCGACAAATTTGTTTCTTTTCCGCATAACATTAATGAGTTAATTTCTGTTAGGGAAGAGTAAGTAGTACTCATTAATGGTAGTATAAGTAGGTAATGGAAAATTGAGAACCATTAATAGAAAATTTCGGATATTTTAATAACTCTAATCCAAAATATTTTAACTTGATATTTGACTATGGTCTATTCGGATATTTCCAATTACTAGTATAAAGATAAATTACTATATAAATTATGTTATAGATAATATATTTTATTATAATACATATCAATTGTTATTATTATTAGGTTCTTTAATAAATTCCGGTTACCCGGTGTGATTGGTGCTATAGATTGCACACATATTGCAATAGTACTGCCAAGAACTGAAGATGAGTTATATCCCGAGCATATTTATGTAAATAGAAAAGGGTATCATTCTATAAATACTCAATTGGTAGGTATAATTTTTAATTATTATTACAATATTAACGTGTAAAATATAATTTATAATCATTTATAATGTGTAATGTAATAGACATAATAATTTAGATAAATAGTTTATAATCGTTAAAAATCTCATACATGAATATAGTTCTCTATTATTGTGGTAACAATAACCTACAAAGCATGCAGTTGCATGCCTTGCAAAACAGTTTAATGATAAACTATATACTTAGCACTAAACAGATACATGTTGATGATGTTTAATAATAACACCAAGTATATTTAAAGATTTGTGATGCAAATTTACGCATAATGAATGTGTCGGCACGTTTTCCTGGTTCTGCAAATGATGCGCATATTTGGAATGAAAGTAATGTAAAAACATTAATGTTAGACTTGCATGAAAATGGTTTCAAGTCTTATTTTTTAATAGGTATGGGTTTAATAAAATATTATTGCTAATTTCTTTGATTTTTTAAAATAAGCCTTCATTCTTTGTTAGGTGACTCAGGATATGCTTTACGTCCTTGGCTTTTGACACCGTTCATAGATCCGGCTCCAAATTCTCCAGAAGCATTATTTAACGAGTCATTTTGTAAAGTTCGCTCAATTATTGAACGTTGTAACGGGGTTCTAAAAATGCGATTTAGGTAATACACACCTATTGTTTGATTAGTATAACATACTTCATAGTCTGTGATATTTAAACATTTTATTTTAAACTGTTTAGATGTTTGCTGAAACACCGTGTTCTACATTATTTGCCAAATAAAGCATCCAAAATAATAAAATCTTGCATTGTGTTGCATAATTTGTGTATAATGGAAAATGTCCCTCTCATCGATTTAGATGACATAAATTCAAATGATTTTGATTTTGGCATTTTCGAACCTATGGTTGAATAATGATAATAATTTTAATTGTATACATAAATAATATAGTAATTCCTGAATTGCAGTGATATAAATCCGAAAATCCGTATTTAAAAATAAGCGCATTTGAAGCCACACAAAAATCGTAAAGTATTAAATATTTTTAAAGTATAGCGTCTTGTACCTAAGTTAATTGTTTTTGATAAAAATGAAAAAAAAACGCAAGTTTGACTATAACTTGCTTTCAGATTTTGGATTTATTTAAATCCGAAAATCCGGAATACGAAATCCCAAAACAATTAATAGTCAAAGTTGAACCTTTTTTTTTCATCAAAACATTTTACTTGGTACACAGCTTGTAATACTATTTAATATTTATAAGATTTTTAGTGGCTTAAGTTGCGTTTTTTTTTTAATACGAAGTTCAGGTTGCCGTAGAATCAATTTCTTCTTCACTTTCCGAAGAGTCATTTAATCCGGCCAACAAACATAAGGCTTTGGCCATTTTTTCTTTTGCCTTTGTAGCTCTTTCTTTTAAATCGGTTTGTCTTTTCAATAACTCAATTTTATTAGAATAATAGGACTCCATTATTTTGTTGCGGTTGTCGCTAATTGTTGACAAATGTTGAGAGGCAAGTTGAGTTTTTTAGAAACCCATTTAGAAGTTTTAGGCCTACATCATTTTTTATTTTACAAAATATATGTACAATAAAAATGTTGTGATTAATTAAAGGGTACATAATATAAAATAATGTAATACATATATTAATACAATATAATATTACATAAAATAATATTATAATATAATATATAAAGCTAGATAATATAATAATTCAGGTAATATACCGTAATTCGTATACGAATGCGTAGTAGAATAGAAAGAGTAATAGAAAACGCAATTTCAAGAATACAGTTTTAAAAAACCAGTAGAAAGTCACATTTCGTATACGAAATGGTAGTAGAAAATTTTCAAGAATAGACCCCTAGTGTTGTGCATTTGGTTGTGACAATCGAAATTAGGAATACAAAGAAATTGGTGTTAAATGTCAACAAATCCTATAGTAAATATTTGTTTAGATAAATTTTCAATAGTACATGATGATAGTCCAACTGATTTAACATATTATGGCCCAAGAAATATTTAAGAATATCAAACGCACACCCAATTATTCCACACGATATAATCAATGAAAATCGAATTTTAGAAGGCATTAGAATAGTATCGCCAATATCATTTATGAAATCCGGTTTTCAAGACG